AATTATCAACTACTTAATCTTCTAAAGCTCACATCAGATTTACCAGCATTGAGCAGGAAATTCAGATCTCAATCTCCTGAAAAAATGAAAAATAATCTTTACTACAAATCATTTCTTTCAAAAGGCAAGAAAGGAAATTATCTTGTTCACAACATTGCTGTTGTGAATAATTTAACTTTAGGCATTTATTTAACTTTAATTTAACTAATTAAATTTAACTTTAGGCATTTATTAGAACAGTCTCCAATCTCACTCTGGCAATGGAAAGGATGGACTTCCTTGAAGATGAAACAAAACCTACTCTCAGTCCCCTTGTGTCAGATTAGCTTTTAGACTGTTTCTTTGTTCACCAGGTGGTTAACTGGGGTAATAGTAACTCCCTGCTTTAGAAGTGTGAGGGGATGGTGAGAGTCTGTACTCATCTATTACACTAGCAAAAAATGGCTAAAATAACTCGGTACTGCTCGGGCATTGCTCAGTGCTGGTCAGCAGCTGTATTGTCCATCACTTGTTTTTTCTTGGTTTATTTCTCTCTCTTTTCACTATTACTGTTATTTCTGTTCTTCTTATTAAATTTTGCTTTATATAAATTGTTAAACTGTACTTATCTCAACCTGTGGGTTTTACCTTTTTCTGATTCTCCTCATCCTACTGGGGATGAAGGAGTAGCAGTGAGCAAGCAGCTGCATTGTATGTAGTTGTCAGATGGGGTTAAATGACAATACTGTACAAACATGAGATATTTTATAAAACACTTAAAATAAAAATTATTTTTTTCAAGGAAATAACGGGGAATGAGAAAGGAATAAAGGAATAAAAAAGAAAGGAAAAAAGTTATAAGTCATATGGCAATTCCCACAAAGTAGAAATAACAAATACAAGACTATGTTTTTATGAAAAATCAAAATACCTAGACATTTGACACATCTTTTTAACTTTTAAATTTTTAAATATTAAATTAAATAAAATAATTTAATTTTCAAAAAAAATGTGCTTACCCAGCATTCTGAACAACAGAGACAAGTATTTAAAACCCTAAAAGATTTTGTTGTTCTCTATCTGCTTTCTTATTCTGACTTGTTTCAAACAGAATTCCCACATTGTGTCTGATGCCACTAACAGCTGTTCTGAATTCAAGTTAACTCAAAGTTACAGAAACAGTATTCCATACCTAATTCTGATTGGAAATTAAAAAGATGGAAATATATGTACTATTAAGGATTTTAATTAAGTGTGAGAAGAGTTCTTACTGCCATAATTTTTCAATTTGATTATTTGAGCATAAAAAGAAACCAAGTTGTCTTTGCAAGAAGAGCTTAAGGTCAAGAAACCAAGTCCAACTGCTAAAGGAGAAAATTTTGAATTTTTTGTAGCTATACTTGAATGCTAAAAACATCGAGCAACCAAGACAGTTGAGTCAGATGCAGAAAATGGACCAATTAAAAAAAACTCACTACCCTACCCACTGGGTGTTTAAAAAAAGTATTGATTGCTGCTGGCATACTGAATAAAAAAAGTCCAACAGCTGTAATAGGAGAAGGTTAAAGCTATTTTACAGTATTTCCAGCCAGGTTAGAGTAACAATTTCCTCAATCTGGTATAAAAAAACCACCGGAATATTCATCCATCAACACAGAAGAACTGCTTGTGTTGATCACTTTTGTTTTTTCAATTATGTGTGATTCTGAGCAAGATGTTACGTGCACTTCTTTTCCTTCACAGATGACATCTTTTAAAACACCTAAGCTGCAGGAATAATTCATGACATATGGATAATCAACACACTTTCATATTAGAATTAAAGCTGCAACCAAAAAAAGAAATAAAACTAGAAATAATGATGTGTTAGAAAGCCTATATGTTCTTTCATGCTGATTTTAGGATGAACACATTACCCTGTTCCATCTTCTGTTTTAAAGAGGACTGACATTAATTTTAATTGTAAGCTATACTTGGCCAAAATCAATCTTATTTTTAATATACATTTGACTAATATATGGCTGGGCACATTTGTAATGAGACACCTTGTTGATGTTTCTGAACACACGTTCCTTTTTATTCATATGCAAAGATGTTTCCTTTGCAAAACAGAATGGTATCATGTATTAGAACACAAGATGGTGCCTATTTATTTTGCAGTTTAATCAGTTTTATTTCCCCCTTCACATGGAACCCAAACTTGTGACCAGACGATTAATCAAGTGCCATTATCTTGAAATAGGTCCTAGGGAAGAATATTTCTTGATTCAATTTATAGCCTGTTGTAAAAACCTTTATCTGCTTAGAAATAAATGTATGCACATAGTGCCCTCCTAATAAAGGAATATACTGGGTGTCCGTGCTGTGCAGGCAGAGGGAACCTGCAGGGGTGGTGTCAGTGAGGAGGGGCCAGGGCTGCCCTGTGCACATACAGCCACTTCCAGCTGGCTCCTCTGGACTCTCTCCATTGCAGAGAGCTGAGTCTGTCAGCTATGACAGCGGTGTGGAACAGAGGTCTGCCTGCAGCACTTGGAGCAGACCATGGAAAAGCAGGCTGTCCTCCTGAAACCCACACAGGACAGACAGCCACACTGTTGCGCATGCAAAAGAACACATGGAGCAAGTTCTTGGTACAAGCTTTGTGTGACATTTCTCATCATCCTACACTAGTTCTAATTGGCAATAAATTAAATAATTTTCCCCAAAGTCAAATCTGTTTTGCCCATCATGGCACCTGGTAAGTGATCTCCCTGGTTTATGCTCATCCATAGCCTTCTCTCATTTTTGCTTGCCATCTTGTTGGATAGAGGGAGTGAGAGTGTTTGGGTGGGTGTCCAGCAGCAAGCTGGGGTTAACCAACCTCAAGGATAAAATATAAAATGAGATTGTGACAAGCCACTGTTAAGAGAAGGCTTTATTTTAGATGTTTCTACTAGGAATCCAGATGATCTCAAAAGTTTTGGAAGAAGTCCTAGAAGATTATTTTGTCACAGTAAGAGTCTGCCAAAGTCTCCAACTGCTATACACTATGAAGAGCAAAGGAACTATTTTGCAGCTTCAGTTCTCACCCTATCATCCTCTGGAAACCTGTATTTCCTGAAAATCTAAAACTACAATTTCAGAATTTTTCTTAGTTTAGTCCTGACCTAGTAATTTCTGTCCCCCAGAACCTTGCACAGGCTAATCCACATGCTCTCAAAAGCTCACACGTAGTCCTGTGTTTTCTTTTGTCTGACAGGGTTATGAGTCAAACTCTGGTAGTATGACAATGGGTATTTTCCTTTACACACAGTCTTTTCTTCCCTAATGCTCAAGCACTACAATTGTACGTGCCAGAAACATGGTGTCCATAGAACCATGTCCTTCCCTCTCTGAAATGAAGTATAGCTTTATAAAGGAAGCAAAAGCATCCATGCATTAAAATGGCTCAAAAGAAATACAAAGTTTGATTACTTAGGACCACCAGCATAAAAGCAGAAATTTCAGACCTGGCCTAGCTTGCTTACACTACTTCAAGCTCCCTCACAGCCACCAGCATCTTTTTGCTTCCAACACACGATGTCTAGATTAAGCATTTCTAATTCTAACATACACACAATGACCAGGTTTTCAAGTTAGCAAACAAGCATCAAGTAAAGTCAGGGAGAAAAACAACTAGAAATCTTCCCTTTTCATCAGCTTGTCATCATGTCCATCTTGCCCAGAATGGAAGCAGATGTAACACTATGCAGAAGCCTGACAGAAAAGAGCTAATGTGTATGTCTCCAGCAGTGATAGGAATAGGCTGTGGACTCAGTCAAGGTTTGTTGGTAATAACACACTGTGAGAAAGAACAGGATGTGGCTGGAGGGAGGGTCACAGAGGTAGGACAGCACTTCTCTGGGACAAATGTCCTTGTTCTGGCTCCTAGAGATAAGCATAGCACAGTACAGCACACATATAGGAATAATGTGGAGAAGTGGATGTGGACATGGGACTGCAGGGGGGAGACCAAGACCACCAGAGACCCTCCTAAGCCCTCCAACCCATTTCCAGAAGGGACTGGAAGAACAAACTGCACATGGTAACTAATTTGTATAGAAAGTGAGTCATTTATTTTCCAAGTGGAGAAACTGATCCATAAACAGGTACCCCCACCAAGCCCAGGTAGCACCTCCAGGACCCCAGACATCCCATCAGCCCACTGCTGTGTGTTTGTACTGATGGCTTAAGTTTTAGGTTTCATATTTTTTAGATTCTATGCTGCCTTAGTGTGTAACTCTGTATTTCATATTAGGTGTTAGTAAGTTCCCTTCACAGTTAGACAAAACAATCCTTTTCCAGTGTAAGAACCAAGGACAACCATTACAGCCTCAGGCCCCAAAAGAATAAACAACAGTGAGTTAAAGAGAAGAAAATCAGGAGAATGGGACTTCATAACCTGAAGCTGTAACTGGACAACTAACTCAAATATGTAAATGGACAAAAACTCATAAAAATGTGAAAACTCGTAACTGGTCGTCCATTTTGTGTCCATCTTGGGCAGAGCCCCATCCAGGCTCTTGTACTGCCCAAGGTGTATCCTTGGAAGGCCTTTTGATAAATACCTACTCTATTCCTCACACTCTGTCTAGCCTCTGTTCCAGGTCAGCCTCTCTAGGCATCAGTACTAGGAGGTCAGGGACCAACATTTCAATTTCCATGCCAAATGTGTAACTCAGTAAAAAAATTCTGTAAGCTTTTGTGAACCCCTAGCTTTGTTATGCCTTTTGTCCACAAGCATCTTCCTGAGTGTTCCTGCCCCCTTAAGGGTGGGATGTCACACACTATTGCAACACTAATGCAATATTACTAACACAAGTCAGAAACCTCACTCAAAATCCTTTTATTCTTTCAGGTAAAAGGCATTTTTGTTGACTGACCTGTCTTCCTGGGAATAGCTTCCCCCAGTTTTTGCATTTGTCTCCTACTTGCAATATTTTCTATCTCACCTGCTCCCATCTTTTCCAATTCAGTGGTTTAAAAAAAAAAATTATTCTTACCAGAGTCACTGACAGATTCATAACCCTTCCAAACTGATCAACATAGTAGACATTATCCTGGTACCAGGAATCAAGGTGAAGATAATTATACATGCCAAAAGCACGCATGTGGTCAAGGGTATATTGATCATCACGAAGCTGCACTTCTGCTACAGCTGGAGGGAAAAGAAAAAGACTATTTTAATAATTATTTATTTGCAACTTAGTAATTTAAAATTCAAACTAACAATTTAAAAAGAATTCTTCCATTTTCATTCCACAGGTATGCTTTATTTGAAGAAAAATACACTATGTATACATAGTTTAAAATTTCACCATAAACTTGGAAAGCAAGTCATCCACCCTAAAGGCCACTGCAGTCATTTGTTTTGATTATCTCACCATTATAAATTACCATTTATAATGGCCTACTGCAGCGGTTTTGCCCTGGCTGGATGCCAGATGCCCACTAAAGCCATTCTATCACCTCCCTCCTCAGCTGGACAGGGGAGAGAAAACGTAAGGCTCGTGAGGGAGGAGCATAAGGAGAGATTGCTCACCTGATACTGTCACAGGCAAAACAGACTCAACCAGGGGAAATTAGCTTATTTACTGCCAATAAGATTAGGGTAATGAGAAATAAAAGCAAATCTTAAAACACACTCCCCCCCAACCCTCCCTTCCTCCTGGGGTCAACTTCACTCCCAATGATTATTCCTTCCTCCCCTCTCCAGTTGCACAGGAGACAGGGAATAGAGGTTGAGGTCAGTTTATCACACCTCTCTGCTTCTCCTTCCTCATTCTCTTCCCCTGCTCCAGCATGGAGTCCTTTCCACAGGACACAATCCTTCACAAACTTCACTAAGATGAGTTCTTTCCACAGTCTGTAGTTCTTTGCAAATTTCTCCAGAATGGCTCCCTTCCACAGGTCACAGTCCTTCAGGAAAGACTGCACCAGGGAGGGAGCCCACTAAGGGCAAAAGTCTTGCCACCAAACCTGCTGTGCTGTGGACTCCTCTGCCCATGAGCTCACAGGTCCCACTGGAGCCTCCTCCAGCATGGGCTTTCCGTGCCATCACAGCCTCAGTCAGGTGCATCCACCTGCTGCAGCACGGGGTGGTCCTTCACAGGCTGCAGGTGGATCTCTGCTGCCCTATGGGTCTCCATGGGCTGCAGGGGAACAATCTGTCTCATCGTGGTCTCACCACAGGCTGCAGGAGACTCTGGCACCAGGAGCACCTTCTTCCATTTCTTCCTCACTGACCTTGGTGTCTGCAGAATGGTTTCTCTCACAGTCTCACTCCTCTCTGGCTGCAGTTCTTCTGCAGCCACTTTTTATACTTTTCCAATACATTACCCCAGAGGTGCTACCACCATGGCTGATGGGCTTGGCCTTGGCCAGCATCAGTTGGCTCTGTCAGACATGGGGGAAGCTTCCAGCATCTTCTCGCAGAAGCCTTCCCTTGTAGCCCCCCTGCTACCAAGACCTTGCCATGCAAACCCAATCCATCTCCACCCTGTCTCTCAGCAGCATGTGTTGAGATCCAGTTTATCTATAACCCTCACAGGATGAAACACACATCTACACACACCACAACAATGTCAAACCTACTCGGTATTATAGTAAGGGGAAGAAAGTCTACTCTATAGTAACTCTAGGAAAACAGCAGCCAAATGAAAATCTAACTATATGGATTTCATAGCCTTAAATTCTGAACTACACTACCAACACTTGCGAGCAAAGATTGAAACAGTAAAAAGCAGAATTAGTTCAGTTATTACAAGAAGAAAAAACCAAAAGCACAAAACAAAATAACAAAAATCAAAAGCAAACAACAACACCCCACCATGTTCTCAGCATTCTCACTGAGGCTGAAATTTCCAGAAATGTCCAAGATACCATCAAAATTTGAGAATAACTTTTTCTAATTGAAAGAGACTGCAAAGAATGGCTGTTCACTAGAATACTACCTTCTTCAACACAAGAAGCATGCTACCTACAGTCATTCACTTGAGCAAGATTTTTCCAAATAGATAACATCTACTCAACTACCAGTAATCAGAACTGCATTATCTGTTGAAGACTAAACAGGTTTTTATTTAGATTAGGTGCAGCTTTTTTCCTCCTATTCCATATCTATACAGAGATGAAGCAGATGTAGTCCAAACATCTCAAAATATATCAGCAGAGGTCTAGTCCATCCTTTTGTAAATAGTCTCAGAACTCCAGAATGAACTCCATTTCAATCTCCAGTACAGTCAACCCAGGATTCTTAGCTCTCCTGCAGGGAACTTATCTTGAACTTCACACAAGAAAAATCCTTTAGAAAGTTACAAGTAAACCCTGTCAACCCATGATGACTAGCACTCAAGCCCAGACTATGGGGAAAGCACCTCAAGGCTAATCCTTCTCACAGCAGCAGTACAGAGTTATTGTAATCCCTAATCTTTCAATTTTGACTTTCTTTCCTTTTCTGCTCAGGAACAGAGCTTATCTATTTCCAGTATTTCACTTGCATCCCACCGCATAACAGGGACCATTCACAACTCTCTGCAGCAGCACTCAGACTTCTAACTCTTCTTTAACATCTGCTTAAACCCTGCTGCAGCAGCAGTAGTTTACTGTGTCAGAACATCAATTCCTGCAAAGAGCAATTAATTTGGCAGTGCCACTGCACAGCTATCACAAACTCAACAACCAATCACTATTTGGCTCAGAACAGACCATTAGAGACACTCACTATAAACATAAAAGTGGTTTCAGGAAACTATGCAAGATTGTACTGCCTGATTAATAAAAAATCCAGTCATACTATACAAAATGCTTGCAAAATAGAATCATTAGCAATTAGTCTCCTAATCACTGTTGGTATTTGCAAAGCAGCAGTTTTAATTCCACTCAGATCAAATCATTATTCATATTCACCACACAGGAGGGATTTCCGTACCTCTGCAATTAATAAATTACTGTTACACAAGCTATGGCCCTTCAAAACAAGCTAGAATATCAACAAATGAGTGAGAATAAAATACACCTGCCTTAATGGCAAGGACTGCTACCCATTCCAATTCCTGCTTTAATTAATTAGAATATTTTACTGTAAATAACACTGTAAAAAATAGAATATATTGTAAAAATGCATTTTAAAGCTGTTTGTGTACCAAGCTTTATCGCAGAGATATTTTTCCCAACACAAGAGATGACATGAGTATTTTGTAAACAATTAAAGACCAAACCAAATACAATCCAGAATAATTATTTTTAGTGAAACTAAGCACATATCATCAACTTCCTGTATAGCTGAGCCTCTGAAATTAGAATATTTTACATGTAGAAACATGTAAAGGTTTTTTAGCACAAAAAACCTGAAATGTTAAGGCTTCCTTTGTCTACTTCTCCCTCCCCACTCCCCTAGTTATGTTGTCAGAACTGTAACTAAACAGTCTAAATACTCCAAACTAGATGATTCCTAAAGTAAACAAACAACTTTTCACAAAAATACTTGGAACAATAAACTTGATTAGCTGATTGTAAGGTGATAAACTTTATAAAATCTGGAAGAACATGAATTCTCTGTCCTTGAGTTTTCTAGACCGTAGTTCTGATAAGCCCTGAATAATGAAGGGGGTCAGGAACAGGAGATCCAAATCCCTTGTATTATTGCAATATGTAATAAATTCCACATAAACAGAAGCCAGAAACTGTACAATCCATAGGTGATTTTAAGCTAGGAAATCTGACATATGTGTACTGTCTTGTCATGAAACACTTCAAATGAGGTAGCCAACTGCTTTCAGAACATATCATACATATGTGTGGCTCTGCCAAGATGAAGCAACTAAAGAACCTATTCCATTCTCCATTCATTTTGAAATCCATACTGTGACCAAGTGAAATGTGCAGAACTGCCACAGCTATCATATAACATGTGCTTAGATAGTTTACAGAAGATTCTACACTAGGGTGAAATTAATTCCTTCCTTTCTACAGACTTCAAGATTCAAGGTTTCTTAATGGTCCTTTGAAAAAAAGGGAAAACCAATAGAGCTGAATGCAAAAAAAATAAAGGAGAAAAGAGAAAAGAAACAGAGACTTTTAAAAAAGTAAATTCAGATAAAGGTAAGTTAATATAAATAGAGAAGAAATACTTCAATCAGATCATCACCTTATTCAGTCTCACAGTTATACACAGTTTAATGAGTTTTTATTTGGTTGCTCATTCAGGATTTTTGAATTTTTTTCTGTTTTGTTATTGTTTGGCTTGGGTTTGTTTTGTATTAGGGTTTTTATTTTTTCCTAGATTTTTTTGTTTGCTTTTTTTCTTATTTTTTTTATGTGATTTTTAAGAGACTAATTCACAAGTCTCAATGGGTTCACTAGTCTTGGGTTCAATTAAGAAGCAGCAGTCAATGGCAACGTATTCAACAGAATACGTGGTCTCTTTCAAATTTCTGATAAATACACCTGCAGCATGGTAACCCAGAAACATTAATTCATACACTGTTATTCATACCAGAAAAGAAAGCAAGCATACAGAATTTATAAACTAAATCTCATCTTTCAATATTATTTCCCAACAACCCTAGTTACATGGGCTATTCTGGACCAGTACAAAGAAAACTATGCTACTTTTCTAGAATTGTATTTATCTCCACTAGTTCCATGCTTTAAAAGAATAATTTGACTCACAACAGTTTAAACATAACTAAAGAGAAAATTTGCACTCACAGTGATTTACTTCAAAGCAAAAGTAGTAAATACAAAGTAATTAATAGGAATCAACAGAAGAAGTAGCATCTCCCTAACCTGTTACTATTCTCTAGCTTGATATTATTATAATTATTAGTATGCAATGCAAAAAAAAAAATAAATTTCTCTGACTAAAGAGTACTATCAAGGAACTTATACTTCAGATGAATAGACAGGTCTTTTATCTGCCACCAAAAACAATGAAGCAGAACTGGGATGAAAAAAAAAGAAAGGTAGAGAAAAAAAAGGGTGAAGAACAACCCCCAAATAGCCCCTCCATTTTTAGACATTTTCCTGAATACACCAAAGCAACTTTACAAAACTGCAAAATATACTAAGTAATTATACCAGCATTTTTTGTGGCATCAAATACTATATGCTTGTATGTCATGCCTTGTTTTGCAGTGCCACCCAGTGGAAGCAATTTTTTCTTGCAGATACACTGGTCTATTAGTGGGAAAAAATTTAAATTCTAGTATCAGCATTCAAAGATCCTTCTAACCCTGCATTAATCCTTTTTCTTTTAATCCTTTCTTTAACGTTTTTATTGTTAAAGGCAGTACCTTGTTGTTGAGAAAACATGTGCCTGAGACCTAAACTTCCAAGAATTACAGCTGCAAATGTCTGAAAAAGCTCACAATTTCTTACTATTTTCCATATATTACTTTGAACACTTTTTTTGTATTTAATTTTTCAAATGCAAATCAAAAATGCAAATGAAAATCTCTGTAAATGTTTGAAACATACCAGCGCCTTTTGCACCATAAAAAGTCACAAACATATGCCTTCCATGTAGCACTACTAATGAGCAACTTTTCAATGAAGCAGATCTTCTAAACAGTATAGATTATCACCATTTTTAAAAGAAAGTGATAAAACTGATAAATGCTCAAAATGATAAATGATCAAAGAAATGCTTTCTCTGTGTGTTCTCCTGGCTTGCAACAGCAGCTCCATCTCTAAGCAAATGTTTACTCTGCCTTCCAGCTGTATTATATTGAAAGGCATCCAATACTACACTACAGGTGCAACAGTCCTGCCAAACACACAAGACAGAGGAAAGGGATCAGGGACATCCACATATGAATAAACTCTAAGTCTCTGGAAAGCAAAAGGAATTATGAGACATCTAACCAGTAAACAGCAAAGGTCTTGAGCCTTTAAAAATGTTGTGCAACTTGGACATGTTCCTTGCTGGAGACAAGGATTTGCTCGACAGTCTCTGCTTTGGTTTCTGCTAAGATCAGGTTAAGGCAGAAAAGATAACCACAAACAAGATGCTCATTTATCTCTCCTAAATGTTCAGTGATCCAAAAAAAAAGGCATTACAAAACTCAGTGCAAAAGAAACATCTGAAAATAAGTTATAGAAATAAACTTAAAAAAGTAAGAAGAAAGACAAAATTAGAATGAAGAGCTAAGAATCAAAAGCATAATAATATGGGACTCATTACTAGTTGAAATATATTACCAGGAGGAGGGATAAGAAAACAAATGACTGTGAGAATTTAGCATTAACTAGGACAGATAGGGTTGGAATAAGGAAGAAATAAAAGAACATGAAAATCACAGTATTTAAAAGAGAAGGGAAGGTATCGTACTTCCCCCATTCTTCTTCAACATGGCCATAAAATTTTAAGAAATTTACAAGAAAATCACCTTCTATCATAGATCTAATAAATAAATAGTTTCTTAAAATGCATTTCTTTATTAGTTGCACATCTGATCACAGAAAATTCCTGGCAGTCAACCAGTTGAGGGCATACTTGAACTGAACACTAAGTTTTGTAAGATGGTCAGAAAATGACGCTCACTGTAGTTCTCAGGAACATGACAATCACAAGTTGTCACACAACACCACATGCTGCTATCCACCTGCTCTGGGGGAAGAAGACTGCATTAATTTCACTGGGCAATTTTTTTGGTCATTTTATTTTATAACTAGCAGTGAAATTCATGAAGATAGATAAATATAAAAAGAGATAGAAATACTGAGAGAAGACTGATACTCTAAAGTTCAGTACGCAAGTTTGTAATAACAAAGTGCATTCTGAAAAAAACTGCATAAACACTTCAAATACAGTTGAGTTATAACTCAGTTCTGCTTAAGAATAAGCATTTATTTATTTTTATTGTTATTTATTCCAATTACTTTATAACTCACATATTCCTCTTAACTGCCACCAAACTTGGGATGCCACATAGGCAGACCTAAAAATCTCAGGCCATTTGAGACAAACACTCATTAATTCCTTTTCTCTAAAACAAAAAAACAACCGCCTTTTTACATTAATCTTCCAGATTCTATTACAATATTTTTGCAAATGGTAGTGAATAAAATCAGAAATAATTATACCGACAGTGTTCTTAAACATCTGACTTTTTTTTTTCAGCTATTGCACTCAGTCTCACTTTGAGGAAATGAAATCAAATTCTTCACACAGTGACAAGTATTGATTTAATAACCCAAAAACTACCAAGCTCTTCATCATATTCTAGAGGTTTTGAATCTGCACACAAGTGTGCTGGAAAGCAGAAGTTCTTGGCCTTCCCACACAATACTTTTCTTTCTTCTCACAAGCAGAAGTTTGAAAAAACCACAGCCTACACACCATCCACAGTCTCTGCAACTCAAGCCATTACTCCTGTACAATACAAAAATCAAATTTTGGAAGGACACCCTAAATCTAAGACATGTGTAGACACTGGGAAATACAAAAGTCAGGTACAGAACACCTCTGCACTGAGTCAACTGCCTTGAAGAACACAAAAGAAAACCAGCAAGGAGAAAGAGGCAGCTGTATGGCTTAAGAGCAGGCTGCAATTAAAACATCTGGAAGACAGATACAAGGCCTGATACATTTCCTGCTATTAATTGCAAAACACAAGAACAACAATAAAAGCTTTTGACTCTCCAGAGGACCAGTATCTATATATGCACACACAGACCAGAATAAGTGAGTCAGTATTAGTGACTCTGTAGGACAGCTGAGTAAATTAGAGTGAAATGAGTCAGGGTCTTTGTGCTGTGGGAAGCAGGTAAAGACAAGAACACAGTCACACGTATCAGTCCTCCATTAAGTGAGTTATTGTAACTATTATGTAAAATATCTGAACAGACAAGAATTGAGTAGATCCATCTCTCCACTGGCAACTCCACTGCTCATGAATTTTAATGAAGATCTGAAATCCTCACTTTTTTGGAACAGGTGCACAATTGACTAGCCAAGAACCACAAAGGTTGCTTGACCATAGGCAGAACAGCCAATAAGAGACAAATTAAGGGAGTGTGCCAAAGCTACCTTGTTGCTATCTCACAGCTGCAGCACACTCCTAACACATGCCCACTCACCTGCATTTGGGCTGTCTTTTGGAAAGTGACACCCGAAGCAGTCTTACAGAAAAATGTTACTCTCGTTAGATTTTCCAGTCCTACCATAGATATACTCACAGTCTCATCTACTTAACCTTCAATAAAAAAAGTATCTAAAAACCTCCTACTGCTGACAACTCAGCATGGCAAACATACCTTTCTGACCCACTACAAATACAGTATGTTCTACACAAAACAAAAGTAACATGTAATGGGTAAGTCTGTAGACAGGTATATCAGCCAGTAAATATACAGAGACAGAGATTAGTCCACACAAATTGTGTTTACTGTCTCAGCTTTACAAGGAAAACCAAACTCACTCATACACCTTACAAGAAGATGTGAATTTCACAAATCAGTAAATATAGAGTGCTGAGATATTTCAGGGCATGGCTAAGACTGTAGGCACATATCCAACAGGACTTTGTGCTAATGTACTTCTCAGTGAATTAGCCTGTTAATGGACCAGCATTTCAAATACTGAAGATGCTTGGCAGAGAAAGCAGGGCATGGAATGCATGGCTTAGAGAACCACCTTTGAACTGTGTGAGCAGAGCAATAAAGAGAAACAGCTAATTTACTGAAGTTTGTATAAGATGTTAATTTCATGCGTATTTCTCTAAACCGCATGTGTTCCGTTCACACTCTGCTTTGAACTACCTCAGCTGGTCATCTGGCCTCACCTCGCCTGCACAAGCAAGACCATGGTTAGGACACAGGTTTCCTTATTCATTTAGGAACTAAGCGTACCAGGAGCAGGCAGCTACACGGCAGAGGTCTGACAAGTCAGGGACCTCGGCCCACCGCCAAGCCACTTGGCGAGGGACGGACGCCCCTGGCCAACACGCAGCAATTGTAACGAGAAGCCGAGACGAAGCGCTCGGTCTCGGAAAGCCCCGCCGCTGGAGAGGCGCGGGACTCCCGGTGCTGCGGGCCGGACTGTCCCCAGCTCGGGGCACCCTGCACAGAGGGCCGCTGCCCGGCCGCTGGCGCCGCAAGGGAACGAAGGGAAACGCGGGGGGATCCGTCCGTCCCTCCCGCGCTGCTCAAGGGATGCCCGGCGGGATCAGCCGCGCCCGCTCCTCACCCGCGTCCAGCCCCAGCTGGTAGCAGGCCAGCGGCTCCAGCGACAGCTTGTATCCCTCGAACTTGGGGTCCAGCAGCAGGCGCTTGGCCTGCAGGGAGCAGTGGGCGGCACCCGNATCTTCTTATCAGTCTTCTCATAAGGTGAATGAAACAAAACTTTCCTTTTTGCTTTTAAGTTTTTCTTACGTTTCTAGCTCTGTTCTTGTTAGATAAAGCAACACACAGTAGAATACATAAAACACAAAAAAGAAATAAATAAAAAAGTAAAGAAAACCCAAAAAGTTTGTGCAAGTCATTGTAGAGATTCCAATAAAGGCAAACAAGTAAATTGCACAATGTTTTTGGCATATTTTTGTCTTTTCAGTCTGTTTTATTGACATTGTATTTGCATATCACTAGAGTGCTTATTACATTACCCTCCTCATCGCTTCACTGTGCTTGCAACACCATGCACCAAAAGCTCTATGTTCTTCATTTTTAAAGGCCTGTATGAGAAAAAAATCTTTCTCCTGGGTCATGGCATAGCCTTGTAGCCTGACGTAGCCTTTTGTAGCCTGACGTGGTATCTCTGCTCTACATCTTTCCTGGTTGTGACCATCCCCCTGGAGATTGCACAGACCTTCAGCAAAGCAAGAAATTTCTTGAAATGCTATTGAGATCTGTTTTATGCTAATTTAAGAATAAGAAGGGTTTTATCAGGACATCAATTAAAAGCAATCTTATAAACAGGCTTTATCAGAGCTTTACTGTGATCAGAGGCAGAGCACTTGGATTTTGTGAACTGGGAAATATACAGAGGCAGACAGTTTCACCTGTATTTTGACTGCTTTTTTCACCAGTTCATCTGCCCCCTACGCAATTCACTGAGGAAAAGGGATTAGACCACTGTTCAGGCTCATGCTACAATCCTTTCATTCATAAAGACAGGGTTTTGCTAGGGTTATTTAGGATAGTACAAGATAAGCAGGCTTGCTAACTAATGTAAAAAAGACTGAAATGTACTAAGTTATTTATCATATTTTACTTTCATTTTCCCTTCTTCTGTTTTTTAGTACTAATCTTTACTTTTTTAGCTAACTTTCAGTATTGTTTTGATATATGGAGCAGATGCTTCATTGTGGCATATTGTTGTGGTTTTTTCCATTAATGCCTGAATCCTTGCTGCTGAAGCTTACATAGCTAATCATACTTAGGAAGATAAGATACAGGATCCTCCATTTTCACCCTGAAGGAGGTAATGTGTAACTCAGGAGATAAACCTACAGCTGAGCAGTGCAGAATTCTTCTCAAAAGGTGAGGGAGAAGGTTTTACTTATTTTAAAGACTTGGTATCAGGTGAAATATTCCAACTTTGAAAGTTTGCATACATCTGCAACCAGAGTAGACTCAATTCAAGTAATTCAAGGGCTTCTACTTTTTTTTACTGTGGCTGCAGCATCAACACTGCCAGAAGCAGATCTGTGAGTTAGCTCCTGAGGCATCAAATCTTCATAGTCCAACATGGCAAACTGAAATTGGAACTTGTTTGGGTTTGGATTCACCTGCTGTTCAGCCATTTCTGCTGCTGGTCTGGGAACTCTTGGGTAGTAATTGTAGGCTTGACTTTCAAACTGGAACATATTTAAGCTCATCAGGAATTAAACATAAGGAATGTCTGTTATTCTAACAAGTTTTATATTGTCTTAACAGTCTTAAAGAGCTGCTGAGAGCCAAGTTAATTGAATGTGGCTGGAAGGATCAGTTGAAGGCACATTGCAAAGGTAACAGTGGTCAATTAATTTCCTTTGTATTCAGCTGAGATTCTGGCCAAATAAAAATCCCAAATGAAGGCTTTACTGCTACTTTAAACAAGACCTGGGCAAGAGGAATGTATCCCTGGCAACTTGACATTTATGTTTAAACATGCTACTTAATTGAGATTACTTCTCAGCTTTGACTTCTGCATTTCTCAGTAGGGTGCAAAGCACTTTAAGTAAACAGTTGTTTCAATACTGATGTGTATTAATAATAGCCTTTATTTTGCTATAGATTTATTCCTTTCTCTCTGGCATCACTTTTTGACTTGGCTGAAATATGTACAGAAATCTTGTTTAAACCAGTTGGAAGACTAGTAAGGATTTACTGTCTGTGCTCTTCCTTATTGTATGTTCCAAAGTGTTTTTCCAGTTGTACCTTTCTTACTACTGTAAAAATAATGTCTTTTAAGAGATAAGTGAGCCAATTTGTGAACTGCTCCAACACTCTAGTAACAGGCACATCTGGTAATAGTCAGATGAGAAAAAACATTTTAATATTTGTTTTTAAAATACTAATTTATCAAAATGCATCAGCAATGACCAGTTCTCATCCTTAAACTTATGACATGAGTGAGAGAGTAAAATCGACTGTACAATGCAGTAAATACTGAGCTAATAACCTATATTCAGGTCCCATGCTACTTCATATTCTGTCATGACAATGTAGGCAGGTTTTGTTTACCAGCGCAAGTTTTGTCATTTTATGTAAGTATTGATCTTGGTCTTTCCCAGATGTCATTAAAGAAAAAGGATTAGAACATGTTACTGTTGACGATTTGGTGGCAGAAATCACTCCCAAAGGCAGAGGTAAGAAAATGAAAATGTGGATGGAGTAGTACATCAACAAACACACATACCTCTATTTCATTAGTATTTTGAAAGCAGTGTCATGAGCTCGCCTGTGTTGGATTCAAGGAAAAATGTTAATAGTGTGATATTAACTACAAATAAAATGTTAATAGCTTAATATTAACTACAAATGAAACGTGAATTTGTATTGTGTAGCAGCCTTCAGATTACTTTTGCAAATTGTGTTAGTCATGTCTACATTCATTTTTATAATTGACCTAATGGTCCCAAGTTGTGTACACAATAGAGATGTTTTAAAATTCCAAATATTTTCAGATGGAAAATCAGAAATAACAGTTCTAGTGTAAGAGGAATGGGAAGAGTAAAGGACATAGCATAGAGATACAAAAAAATTAAATTACTTAAGGAAACTGCAGTTCTCTTTATATTGTTCCTCTTGAGCTGTCTAGCAGGGTCTGATGTTAGTGGTAGAAACTTAATTAAGTTCTAAACAAAAATAGGCCTTCACGATAGCTTGCTCAGAGGCCAGGGTTGAGATTTTTTTTTTTTGGTCTTAAATTTGTGAAGACAAAAGGTAGGATAATCACACTTGTTCTGTGTGAACACACGTGTTCTGTGTTTGTTCTGGTGATTATATCCTATTTCCTGTTGAATAATACTTTTCCTCAAATTTCCCAATTTTTTGGACTATGAACAGGCAAAAAAACCGACCAGCAACAACACTGTTCTCAAAAGATCCCAATTTTAGCCTATTTTAAATGGGAAAGATATAAATGTGCTATGAAAATCAAGTAGTTTCAGTTAGTTAGGTATTAACAAAATTGCAAGAACAATGAAAGAATAGAAATGGCTGTTGTAAAAGTATGGTTTTAGCATACTTTTTATTTTGTCTTTTTTTACTTCTTGCTTTCTTATTTGTGTTTTAGCTTTGGTACCAGACAGTGTAAAGAAAGAACTCTTGCAAAGAATAAGAACCTTCCTTGCTCAGCATGCCAGTCTTTAATTTTGATGTTCATCTGGGATACAGTTTCCTGTATTACATCAATCATGTCAGGATTGGAATGCAGTTTACATACTTAAAAATGAAAAAATCAATAAATTTTCTTTGCACTGCATCAATTTCTTAAACTTGGTGTTATTTTAATAAAAAATTTTGTGAACTTGTGTTTCTAAGGTGGTTCTCTCTCTCAGTGGACTGTAATGTGGTGTCACTTGTTTTTAATAATCCTTAACTTTATACAACTGTGGAACCTTGCAAAGATTTTTCAGAAAAGAAGCACAGTTAACAAGTATGTTGACCAGAAACGCAGAAAGGTGTAAAAAAAAAAAATGTGGAAAGTGGGATAAGACATACTGCTGAGCATATCCTTTCTGATTATCCCAGAGTAAGCAGGAGAAAGTTAACACTATGTGAAACTGTTGGTGAAATTCCTTTTGTACTTCTTTTCCACAGCATTAGTTGTTTGAAGTCTCTGATGTGGGTTGCAAGTATTTACTCAGCAATTCATAAGAGGTTGAAATCTTCAAGAAAAAGGCAGTTGTATCTTCCATCAGCAATTCTTTTCACATTTATTTTGAGCACTATTCTAATTCTGAACAACTGCTGTTTTCTAGCTTTGCCCATATTATTGGTGGGTCTTTTTATGTTTTTCTTAGGGGCCTTTTTAAATTGAAGTACTGTTCAATAATTTGCCACTGTACATCTAACACAATGCATTTTTAATTCTTGTATCTGGAACTGTACCATCAGCCAGGTCTATACATAGCTGCAAAAATAAATTTTATTAATACAGAGGATCAGAAAAGGGCTTTGAAGTGAGAATGGTTAATTTTTCCCAGCATGTATTTGTCGTTTAGAATAGGCTATAAAGTGGAGGAGAAGCACAAGCATAAGCAGACTCCGAATGAGCAATCGTCTACTGTTGTGACTCGGTGGCTATTCTGAAAAATTACTGACTCAACGTAATACTCATATTCGTAGTTGGAAGAATACTGTAAAAACTAGCACTTAGAAAATCACTCCTGTGCCAGTGGGTTGTGCTGTTCCATCACTGCTGCGAGCTCCCAGCTGAGGAGCCGCTCGGAGGCACCAGCGTCCTGCGCATGGGGAGGGTGACAGGGGCTCCCCTTCCCGTCTCCAGCGCCTCCGCTGCTGCCCGGCCCCTCGGCCTGCGGGGCCCGAGCTGCGCTCCTGGGGCTCAGGGCACGGAGTGCTCCCCTCACTGCCCGCCCGGCCCCTTGGTCTGCGGGGCCCGAGCTGCACTGCTG